GTCTTGGTTGATGTAGCTCGGTTAGACGGAGGCTGTACAACAAGAAGGCTTTGGAACTCGCAAGCCATTGCTGCCTCGGGGCTTGCCTGCTGGATCTCCTGGATCCCGGTTTGTTCGAAGGGAATCAATGCTGTGTTGTGATCCTGGATATGTTTTAGTGCCTGATAGACTTCGACATCCTCTTCTAGTGTTATTCGGACGGGGTATGTGGCGATAGTTGGCCCGGTTATATCAGCGGCCCCCTCGGTGTTGCGGGCCATGACGGTGACGCCAAATACCACGTCCAAAAGGCCTGTGTGCTGAGATACTACCATCGCCCATGCCAAACGAATCATCGCTGATATCGTGGCTCCTCTCTGGTTGCAGAGACGGAGAGGAAAATCTTTATGTGTCCACTTGACCGTATGAGAAGAAGAACCCGCGAAACTGTGGGAAAACGAAGGCACTGCCTTAAGGCCGTGGAACTCGCGTTTCCAAAATTCTTTCGCGTTTGATTTATTCTGCTCGTGGATGTACTTGATAAATGGTGAGAAGTGGCCTGGATCCAGTCTTTGCCCTTCGTATGCCACTTGAACAGCATCGAGAATTTTGTTATATGACCACCAATCAAATAGCGAATGATGCATTACCAGGGTCAGTCCTGGCCGAGAGCTGTCACGACACGCGATTAAATAAATCAGGGGAGTGCCAAAGAGCATATTTTTCTCCCACTTGCCATCAATTTGGCGGGTATTCGAGTATGTCTCGAGCCATTCTATGTTCCAGCCGCGAACCACAACTTGGAAAGCGCTATACGATAATTGCAAATGTGCGGCATTGATAATTCGGGTACGCAAGATTGGATAAGCATCTGCAGCTATATTCCATGCACGTCGCAGTCGATTCCAATCAATGGTCGGAGACATGCGGAAAGCGAAGCGGGCTTGAAAGGCCCCGGGTTGACGAGCGGTCCTAGCCATAAACCGTTCCTGCAGAGGGGAGCATGGATAAATATCCTCGATCTGGGAAGGGAGAATCCCGCACTGCTCAACCGCAATTTTCTTGAACGTCTCGATATCTGAAGCCCCCAACATAGAGAATGGAAGTACAGAGCCGGGTAAGCTCACCAATGACGATGGCCCGTGTTGTTTTCTCGCTTGCTTACGCAGCTCGGAGATGGTAGAGTATTGAAATATGTCAGTTACCGTCAAATTTAACCCCAGGTGCTTTTTAGTCTCCGCGGCTAGCATGATGGCTGAAATCGAATCCCCTCCTAAATGGAAGAAATCATCATCGTCCATAATATCCCGTGGATCAAGGGATAGTGTCCGAGCAATGGCCTTCACAAATTCATCCTCCAACGGGCCGTTGTGATGGTTCGTTTCATCTTGACGACCAAAATGCTTGCTGCTGAACCGATAGATGTTCAAGTCACTCTTGGACAGCTGTGATATGATACCCCGTAATGCTTTTCGATCAACCTTCGCTGTCTGGGATAGCGGCATGGCCGACAAGGGAACGATCAGATCCGGTACCATATAGCGGGGGAGCATATCCGTTAGCGCTGTTTTGGCCTTATGGGCTCTCATGCTGAATAGTTGATCTGGCTTGCGAAACAGCAAGCCGCGATCATCATTTTCTCGTCCGGCGTCGCCTTTGGGATGTGCCCATTCAACGAACAATACCAAAACCGACTGTCCTTTATGGAGTTTTCCCATCTCAACGGCAATCGCCGCTCCCTGGAACAGGTCTCCGGCGTGGTGCTCAATCTCCCCTAACTCAATTCGTTGTCCTCGAAGCTTGACTTGTGTGTCCTTTCGGCCTAGATAGGTCAGGGTTCCATCAGCATGCTGCCGTACCAAATCCCCCGTTTTATAGAATTTGGAGCCTGTCGCCCAGGGAGGGTTTGTCACAAAGGCTGCTTTTGTTTGTTGCGGCAAGCCCAAATATTCCCTTGCTACAATGGGGCCTCCTATCACAAGTTCGCCAACAGTCCCGATCGGTACTAATGAATCATGATCTTCCGAATCCACCACCCAAGTTGTTCCTCCATAGCCCCTCCCGATATTCGATGGGTCACAATCTGGACCTACCCGAGTTTGGACTGTAGACACTATAGTGCATTCCGCGGGGCCGTAGGCGACAATTAGCCTCACACGGCTTGCCCAGCGAGTCAGCTCTACAAGCGGCATCGATTCACCTCCAACCACCAGCGTCTTCACAGCTGGTATCTCGTCCGGGTTCAATATGCGAGCAACGGAAGGGGTTAGTTCCATCCAGTTCACGCGTAAACTGATTATTGCCTCTTGAAGGTTATTAACTCGTTGCATTTCTGACGGTATACAGACACAGCCTCCAAGAATGAGAGGAATGAGAATTTCGTGGATGCTCACGTCGAATGCATAGGATGCGAATTGCAACACTCGTGATGAGCCATTGAGGTTTTGAGCTTCGGAACTCGCCATGGCATTTGTGCATACAGAAGCATGCTCAATGACGATCCCTTTCGGCTTTCCTGTCGATCCCGATGTGTAAGAAACATATGCCACGTTACTCGAGTTCACCATACATTTGCCGCGATTGCCATTAAGTGGTATTATGTCTTCAGTATGCGCTGGGATCGAGAGACCGGGGACCATTATAACGGTCGTTGCAAGTTTGGAACTGGTGTCCTGATGTACTTCAGATGTGAGAATGACATTGGCTCTAACATCTCGGCAAATTCCTTGAAGTCGTTCGAGGGGATGCGTCGGATCGAGAAGAACAAACGCGGCTCCAGCCTTCAATGTTCCTAATATAGCAACTACAGTCCATTTGCTTTTTTCAAAAAGGATTGGTACGACGGTCTCTGGACCAATATCATGGCGGTGCAGTGCTTTGGTGACATTGGACGAAAGGCTTTCCAGCTCGAAATATGTGATATTCCCATCCCAGGCGCATACGGCCTGCGAATCTGGGTGCTGGTCGCATTGTTTTCGGATCAACTGATGGATACACTCAGCTAGGGGCTCCTTTGGAACTGATTCATTCCAATCAGAGATCTGTTTGCGGTGCTCGTCGGGAATCATGTTGAGGCGTTGCAATGGACGGTCCGATGTCAGGTCCAAAAGAACATGTCTAAGTACTGCGCTTAACAGTGCTAAGAACCCTTCGTCCAAGAGCAACGAGCGACTATACAACTCTATGTGCGGCCTTCCAGTCATTTCTACCAGAAGGACTAATTCAATAGGATGATCCGGCTAAGGTAGTAAGTGTTAGCGCCTTTTGTTTATTGGAGATAAATTGCCTGATTGCTTACCAGTTTAGTCCAGGCATCAAACCAACACGATTTGGGCTGTTGTGCAATGCAGCTGTTAAAGCGTCCACGGTATTTGAAGTTATTGAAACTCCATTCACAAACATTTGTGAGATCAACGCCATCTGCGGTGCTGTTCTCTGGTTCCCAGGAAGCACACCATTCTTCAAAAGCTGCCTCATATTGATTTGTTCCACTTTCAGGAAGGACGCCGAAACGAATTTTATTAGCGCCTGTATACTTTGCCAGCAGTATCGACCAAGCAGTCATCAAATGCCGTGATACAGCCTCTGCCGAAATTATATCATGACATTCTACCTCGAGTCGGTACACGGTCTGATGCAGTTTTTGAGGCGCCGGACTTGCTCTTACTCGGGGGAAAATGCATGATTCGAGGTCGGACGCCTGCGTTTTCAACCTCGATTCCTTGCTGCCTGCGTTCGAAGTCGACTCAATCTCTCGTTTCCGCTTTCTCGAATCCCCAGTTTCTTCGAATGGAAAATCCATTATGGAATAAGGCAAGCGGAAGGACTTGTTGCACCTGAATTGTCTATCACTTAACGTGAAAGCTACAGGTACATAGGCGATAAAATATCCCCCTCGGTACATTGCCCTCTTACAATGAATCTCCTGAGCCGTATCTTACTACAGCTATCATGATTACGACCGACCGGCATGACGGCCCGTGCAAAAGAGGCGAGGCCTGGTGGCGGATGCCGAGCAGGGGAAGAGTCAAGACAGGTGCACTCGTATCTACCAAACTATAGGAAGTAGCCTATGCAGTAGCATGCGATCCTCAGGGATCGGTTGGCGACTGCTGCCCATCTCAGATATGGATCTACAACATGCGAAATTCATCCCACCGTGTATGTAATCACACCTGGTATACCAGCCAGCCACTCGGCTACAGTATGTATGTATCCATGCAAGTTGAACTGTCTGGTTTCGCGATGGAAATTTGGAATACTTCTCGAGTGACGCATATCCTCTGTTTTGGCAGACAGGGTTCTATGCCTGTATTTTGAATCTACATATTGCCGAACGTCACTGGGGTTGTTTGTGCCGCTAAATCTAGGTCTAATAATGGCTCAATGGTAGCCGCCCAGAAGGCCCCGGAAGCCTAATAATAAGCTGATAGTCTAAATGCGAATTTTAGATGCAACTCAAAGACGCGGGAGGGCGGATGCAAATCTCCTGGATCTTATGCATTGGAGATGGTGATCGGAAAAGCGTCAACACAGAGCTAGTTCGGGATCACATCTCCCCAATAATGGTCGTTTATCATTACACGAGAATCGGAGAATCCGCTAAGCGAATTTACTCCGTTCCAGTTACTTTCGGAGTACGGCCGTTCTTCTGCATGACCCCGGTCTACCACTTTGTTTGACCATCACAAGTGGAGGCGCTCCCTTAGCCCTCACGTATTCAACATCAAGAACCTGAGATCAGTCGGTGGTTTCTCCCTTCGTGCGTACCAGCCAACTTGACCCTGATATCTTCCTTCCACGAGAGAGCCAAATTACCCCGAGATATTCTCCGTATTTGAAGTTGGATTTCACATCAACTATGGCCGTTTATGCGGGGGATACTCCCACTCCGACTGGAATCAAGGTCATCATAGTTGGGCTCGGAATAGCAGGCTTAAGTGCCGCCATCGAATGTCATCGGAAGGGCCATGAAGTAGTGGTCTATGAGAAGCTGCCGCGGCTTAAAGGAGTTGGTGGGTAACTCCTTTTCTGTTGGTTAAGAAATTGAATTCCGCGGTCCGCTAACTGCGAGCAATACTAAATAGAGGGAGACGGCATCACAATTGGAGCGAACGGCGCTATAGTGACCGCGAAATGGGGAGACGGCGCATTTCATGATATGGTCCGCCCACTGGAATATAAAACCAACAGAGCAAAAGTGTTTGATTACACCGGCTATGCCTATGGAGAATTCGAGCTCCACGGGTATAATGAAGGTAGAGGATATACAGCCAACCGTGGTGCACTCGTTTCCGTTATGTATGAATACTCTCAGACGCTCGGTATAAAGGTCTTCCTGGATTCCACAGTAACAGACTATTGGGAAAGTGAGAGTGAAGCTGGTGTTGTTGTCAACGGCGAAAGAGTTGCAGCAGATTGCGTGATTTGTGCTGAAGGAATTCACAGCCCGGGAAGAAAAATCATCACGGGCCAAGAGATGGAACTGCAGGAAACCGGATTTTCTGCAACTCGAGGGTATCTGGATGCCAATATAGTAGCTCAAGATTCCAAACTGAGCTGGATCATTGATGACATAGAAACAGAAGACTGCATTTACGGATGGCTTGGACCTCGAGTTCATTTTGGCATCACAACTAAGAAGAAGGATAATGAACTCTTTTGGTATTGTTGCCATCAGGTAAGCTTTCGCCTACATCCAAGACAAAATGGTCCCTAATTTGTGTCCAGGATGCGAGCACTCCCCTAAGAACAACAGCGAAATAACTGACCACGTTGTAAGCTGTATGCCGGATTGGGCCGTGCGAGACCAACTCGAGGCAGTAGCTCGTAAGGTCATGGAAGGACGGTTTATTTCCGAGAAACTGGTCCTGCGAACACCCCTAAAAACCTGGCTGTCTCCCCAGCGTAGGCTTATTGTTGTTGGTGATGCAGCCCATGCGGCTCTTCCATCCAGTGGCCAGGGTGGCACACAGGCAATTGAGGATGCAGCGGTCCTTGCAATTGCTCTGGAACTTGCAGGGAAGCAAGACGTGCCACTCGCACTGGCAGTGTCAGAGAAACTCAGGTATAGTACAACCTTCCTAGATCCGAGCTGGAGACAACGCAGCTCAATTGAGAATCCATACAGGTACCAGCGGGCTCGCATAGTCCAACAAGGGGGGCTGGCTGTGCTGCAATTTGTCATGAACCATGTTGACTTCGAAGGGCTCCGAAAGGACCCAACGATGGTCAAACCCCCACACCCGGCCTGGATCCTCGACCATGACTGCCAGGAATATGCAGTCCGGGAATTTCCGGCTGCTGCTGAGGCGGTCCGAACCGGGGGCGACTATGTACCGCACAACATCCCCAGCGACGGCCAGTACCGGATGGAATACAACAGTAAGTAGTATGGGCAGTAGATAGACATGCAGAGTGACACCGTGTTTCTCTCAATAATGTACTGTTCTGGCAGCTAGTATTTTGCAGGAATATCTAATGCAAAGACTCTCTCGCATTGAAATCCGATGTTTGAGGTTGAGATGATAATATGTGCTGACTAAGCTGCCAAGCATGTGACATTTTTGCAGTTCAACGACATCTCTTCAATCTGCTCTGCGCACCGACAGACGATGAAGTCTTTGGACGGGCGAACAGGGCGAGTTCTGCTTAGACAAACACTACAAGTGCTTACTATAAACTGATATTGCATTGTGCTACTTAATATATATCTGGAACCGGCGCTGGAGTGGCAGTTGATACTTCATTTTTCCCCCTCTCCCTCCCAAGGGTTATCCAGCGAGGAATGATAATAGGTACTCAAATAGACCCCCGTTTTCTCCGTGTACGCAAAAGAAATCCAGGAGGTAAAACGCTCGGTTGTGCTGAGATCAACTTCTGGGCTATTTGATGTTCACGTCAGTTGAGGCAAAGCGTTCATCGCAGGGAGACTTACTAGTATGATTGGACTTTGGCTACATAGGAGTTACCCAGTTCAACAAGGCCGATCATGCGAAAGAACTGTGCGACGCCAGTGATAACCTGCATATCATTTTCCCCGTGGACTGGGAAGTAGATCTTCGTCAGGGGGTTTGGGTCGGCAGCTCGCATCTCATAGTTCCAAAGCAAAGGCGTTGTTTTCGAGGAATTCTTGCGATCGTCGAAAGCCACCTCGATACTGCGCTCTCCTTCCTTTAGCTTGATCAGGTTGAAAAGCTGATTGAGATATTCAAGTCCCTTGGCCACAGTGGATCCCCTGAGCCTTCCACCAAGCGTCCAGACCTCCTGCAGTTTTTCCCAAGTAACGTTGTTAGAACCAGTGTACAATTTCAGGCGGGACTTTGATGGATTCACAAAGTCCCAGGAGAAGAATGACCTCTCATCGTATGCGGTGGCTTTCAGGTATGCGTTTACCATTGAAAACGCCTGAGAGCAGTCAACAAGATGTTGCATGTTTCTGACGGAGTCCGCCATGACCTGTGCCATGGATTTCCCGGTGACTTTGCATTTCAAGGCCGGAAAGGTGTAGCCCTTGACCGATATTTTCCCGCCTTTAATAAGATCAAATCCGAATGCTGTTTGGGATCGGATATATCCCCCTTCGATATCTGTTCCTCGAAGGGAGGCTTGCTCGGCATCGTTAACAGTGTGGTCCTTGAGGGCTTGATTCCATAGTTGAACATTGAATCCCTCAATTTTGCATACTCGAGAGTGCTGAGACGAGTTTCAGTTGGTGGGATTCTGTTGAAAGGGTCTTCATCGGTTCCAGACAAGACACTGAGAGGCTCATAGCCGATACGAACGACTGGCGGCTTTCCATGTTGCTGGTAATTGATACTAAGCTCGAGAGGGAGACCGCTGCGTGTAATGGAACTGCGAAATACTTGCGGATAAGGCCCGAATTGAGGGACGAGAGTTTTCGAGAAAAACTCGAGGTATTCGAGCTGTTCCTCTAGAGTGTAGTTCGCTGAACTTAGCACTTTGGCTAGCATGGGGCCGGTTTTGTGCCACCAGGCATTTTGACTCCCGTTGGTGAACTTGGTCCTTTGAGTTAGAGACTCGAAAGCAGTCAAATTCGGGGACCCTCGGATGACTGTCATGGCGTGGCTTAAGGAATAATATTGATGGTAGCGATTGACAATGTGAAATCACACCGATATTCGAAGACCAGGATAGGCATTTTGAATATATGCTATCGCGGGCTTTGTCATGGCGGGCGACACAATGCTGCAATGGAAATATCTCAGCCAGGGAAATTTGAACTCGGCTCCGCTGGTCCCCGGTTATCTTCTGCTCGTTGCATGTCGCTGACTCACATGGATTCTGCGCTGGCCGCGCCCCTAAGTTTCCTGCTTCATCAGCGACATGCCTTATCTGGTAGTAGACGAAAAGAGCAAGGATAGATTACTATGATTTTGAAGTTGAAGGGAGCGTACAGAGCTCTTTACACGAGGAGTGGAACTGATTGTCTTGACTCTCCCTGCAAATAGCGGGACGAAATACTGAGGACCCTGCACCGTTTCAATGCGGTTCTTGATATCAATGGCGAAGACTCTCAACTTTCAAGTCGTTCAGCCAGCCCGATTTTCAAACCCATGCCTTGTCCACATATGCAGCCCGATTCTAAATCGACGGGAACTAATTTAGGACTGATCTGCAGCTTTGTTTCCAATGCACTTCTTGGGAGCCGGGTGTCGGGAGTCGGGAATCGAGGCACCTCTTGATTGGACTTCCCGGCTCAATCACTTCTTGGGCTTGTTATATGGCCGAACATGGCGATCAAGTACGAAGGTCAGAATGTCAAGGTCTAATGCACCGGCGTATCCCCGCCTGTGTTCGCCCTGTCCGGGGTGCGAACTTGCAGTTTGAGGAGCGCCATAGGTCAGCAAGTGGGTTGTCGCCGAACACGACTGCGTTGAAAGCAGATTTCCCCCTCTGTCATCTGAAGTCATACTTAAGAGCTTTCTATATTCTATTATTCTACTAGTTTCACGATATCGATTCTACTGCTCCCATTTGTGAGCCTCGTACTATTATCCGTTACCTGTACTGCGCAACAGGAGGCCCCGTCCACGTTGCTCGTTCCGATGACTTTAGAAAGTCGTTTCCTACCGCTTTCGAGCCTCGAGACCCCCCATCTGCTGGCCGGTCTGGTTGTCATTGGGGCTCTCCTTTGGGTACGCAGCGTGCTTTTGGACCCTGATAGAAACAAGCTACCTTTGCCCCCGGGACCGCGTGGGCTTCCGTTTATTGGCAACCTCCACCAGGCGCCCAAAGACCTTGCGTGGGAGGGTTATAAGAAATGGAGCGACAAATATGGCCCGATTATGTCCGTCAATAATGGCGGCGTGATTACCATAATCATAAGTTCGCATGACATCGTCAAGAATTTTTTGGAGAAGCACAACGCAGTTTTCAGCTCCCGGCCACAGCTCTTAGTGCTAGAGCGTGCATTAAAAGGCCTGACTACCCCAGCGTTGCCATACGGACAAAAATGGTTAGTCCACAGGGCACTTAGGGCCGCGGTTTTAAAACCCTCGATGGCGATAAAATACCGGGGAATTCAAGATCTCGAATCGAAGCAGCTACTTTTTGACCTCCTCCACAATGAAGACTTTACACAATGCTTGCGCCGTCATGCAAGTAGCCTCTTTTTGGGAATTGCATATGGACACCGATTTCCCGAGGAAGACCCAGAATCGCTTGATATTGATAAGGCTGTCGCACAACTGGGAGGCATCTCCGAGTCTATGTTTCAGGGCACCGCAATGCTTCGCGAATTTTTCCCAATTCTTCGATTCCTTCCTGGTACCGACAAGTGGAGAAAACAGCTAGATGAAGTGGGTGATAAACTGGCTGATATTTACGTTGCGCGTCTTCGTGCGGCATTGAAGACCCCAGCATGGAATTGGGCCAAGGAGTACATACGAAGACCTGAGGCAAAGGGGATGGACGAGCTGGAGCTGGCATTCTGCATCGGATCCACATACCAAGCGTCTCTTACACCCTACGAGATTATACGCATTATCATGCTGGCCGCTATTCTTCATCCGGATGAGGCTCTCAAGCTCCAGAGTGAAATCGATCGTGTGGTCGGCGAAGACCGTCTCCCCGGCTGGGAGGTCCGAGACAATCTTCCATGGGTCCGTGCTTTTATCTGGGAATCTCTTCGTTGGCATGCGTTCTCGCCACTTGGGGCACCGCGTGCAGCGAGTAAAGAAATTGAATACAAGGGCTACCGCATCCCCAAGGGTGCAACAATCGTTCTCAACCATTTTGCGATGGACCACGATGAGAATATTTACAAGGACCCGTTCGTTTTCCGACCTCAGCGTTGGATTGATAATCCTGACCTTCCCCATATCATCTTCGGTTTTGGATTACGAGGATGCCCTGGACAGCATTTGGCGAGGGATCTTCTTTACCTCAATACTGCTCGACTGTTCTGGGCTTATAACATCGGTCGCCCATTCGAGGGAGGTAGGCAGGTAGACCTCGATGCAGAGGCGCTGATGAGACCTCGTGGTGGCGGGTCTGCTTTCAACCAGGTTCCACACTTCAAAGCTTCAGTAACTGTGAGGGATCCCAAACGGCGGGCGATTATTGAGGAAGCGTGGGCAACTTGTGAGAAAGACGAACAGAAAATCCTCGAGGAAGCTATGCCGATGGCAAATGGGAGAGAAAACGGAAAAAACAGTTGAGGCACTATATGGCCATCCTTGGCTACCGAGAGAGTGGACGCTAATGGTAGAGATGAACGCTTGTGAATCTGATTCATATTTGAGCCCATCAGTCGCAGCACCTTGGCTCCAAATGCCCGGTTTCAACTCCCACTGTTCTCTTGCTCCAAGTCTCTTGCGTCACACTGTATGTATATACGAAACCAACATGGTCAGGAGGCAGCCTGTATGTTTAGTTGAGATGAGGGACATCAGTTTACATACCCCATTAAGCCACACCTTGACCAATAAAACGTCGGAGGTCAGATAGCATCTTCGCAATATACCCTGAGTATGCCACGGAGCAAAATTGGCGATCGGCAGGACGGTCATATCCAGGATCACAAAGTTCCGGATGACGGTTATTACAATCGTGACTACTTGAGAATATATCCGGATAAACCGTAGGAGGCTCTAGATGCAATGCCGCCTAGAGGAACTGTCGCCATCCCAGTCAGCGGTGCATATCAATCAGCCAGCCTTGCTATGTCTGTGCTCGCTTTCCCCGCAACGCCATCTCCAGCGTGACGAGTCTCTGCGAGAGTATACTCAGAAACCTGGTATCACAATAGCCCGCAGATGACCATCTATACCCTAGAGGGATGTGAGCGGGGATTGGGATCCAACTTCCCTGCCTTTATCAAGTATGATCGTTCAAACTTCAACCCGGCCATGACATTTTCAGCATCAAGCATTCAGAATTCAACTTGTGGGATGATTTGCCTTCTTGCTGGATTCCGAGAAACCGTGGTGGGAGCACCACATGATCAAGCCTTCTACAAATCAATGCTACGATAAGGTGGTGTGCCATCATTACCACTGATAAAGATCAGTGCCCTGGCCTGCTTGATATTTCCCCGTTCTTGGGTTGAATCCTCAATGATTGAAAATATACCTTCCAGTGCTTTATACCTTGTGATTTGAACAAAGCATACCTGCCAGCAAGGGTCAGCCAAAATGGTCGCAATTGGTGATTCTAAGCCCCAAATCAAACGGTTTCCCGTTAGTGAAAATCCAGAGACGATCTGGAAAGTCGTTGAAGAAGATGGTGCCGCCATCGTTGAGGGATGGCTTTCGCCCGACGTGGTCCAGCGCTTCAACCAGGACTTAGACGTGCGCTCGGCAAAGACTCCCGGAGGGACAATGAACGAGGAGTTTTATACGATGCCGCTGCCCAAAACCACAAAGTGGATGAACGACCTTCCGGCGACCTGCAAGACTTTCCGGCATGATATCCTGAACAATCCAATCCTGCACGATATTTGCAAGATTGCTTTCAAAGAGCATGGTGACTACTGGTTGCTGAACGGGATGGCGATGGAAATGGCTCCTGGAAACCCCATCCAGCAGATACATCGTGACCAAGGAACGCACCCGATCCTCAAATATATCAAGCCCGGGTCGCCGGTGCCCGCTATTAGCATTATTACCGCTTTGACGGAATTCACTGAATTCAACGGCGCAACTCGTGTCATTCTAGGGAGTCATCGGTGGGAGAGGATCGGAGATCCGTCTCCTGATCTGGCGGTGCGTGCGGTGATGAAGCCCGGCGATGCAATGATCATGTACCAGGGAACTGTGCACGGCGGATGTCCACACGATGAGGGTAATCCTGAGCATCGCAGACTTCTGCTGTTGGGCATGGGTACCTGCCAGCTCACCCCCTACGAAACACATATGACGATGCCGCGGCGCATTGTGGAAAGCATGACGCCTTTGGCTCAGAAGATGATCGGTTGGCGAAGTGTACGGCCTGTTATTTCTAATGTTACAGGATTGATGACGGTTCGAATGAAGCATCTTGAGCGACAGATTGAGCTGAAGTCGGATGTGCCGTTGGAGGAAGAACGATAGGGGTTTGCGATGGCAGGCTAGTTTATCTACTACGTTGTGAAATAGCAAAGACAGGGCGACAATTCTATGTGATCCTTAGGAATAATCAAGTATTACACTTTCTTTTCCTTGCATAGTTAGAGTCGAATACCAAACTACTCTGAGATCTGACAGCGAGCTCCTTTTCCTCAATCCACAAGCGATCAGCCACTTCTTGCTATCCACCACTCAAAACACATGCACAACTACATTCCATGGATTGCAGTATCAAAGAACCAAAGAACCGTCTAGATTTCGCGTATGTTCCCTACCTGGTCAGATTGTTCTTATCCGCTGCCATCCGCTCCCACCATCAATCCTAGGTTTCGGAAAGAAAAGCTCTCCAAAGGCCCCGAGAAGAGGTTGAACCTGACCGACGAGGATGGCGCCCTGAAAGGTCATCTCGATTAATCTTCCCTGTTGCCCCTATTAACTAACTAATATATTTAACAGCTAACTAGCTAGCTGGTCGAGACTTAAATGTCCCGGCTAAACCCCCGCCTCGAGGCACACTTCTTCTCGCCTTCATCGATTCTGCTCTCCAACCCCTCAAGGTTCCATTCCCAAAGTGCCTGATACCCGTGGTTGCGAGCCCCTCAAATTGCCGCTTGGTTCTTTTGACGGGGCCGTGCTGCGACATGCATGACATCTTGTGATACGTCTGACAACCCGTGGGTGATGTGCATGTCAGTTGGAATACAAATCTCTGGTTGATGTCATCCACGATGGTGTAACAACGCGAAAGAGGTGGGGATTTGACTAGGAGCGGACTGGTGCAGATGAAGATGGAGGGCTGGCTGCTCCTCCATGGCCATTTCCGCCCATGGAATCTTACCGACGAGCTCGAGGAGGGCCCTGTTCCCGGGTAATTTTCGAAAGCGCTCTTCATGATCCCTCTATGCGGTTGGCGGATCGACGACAGGGCATGAAAAAGCAAAAAAAAGAGGAAACGGGGTGGCTGGCCATGATAACGATCCAAGCTTCATTCTTCCTGCGCCGCCGACGATCTATGGCCCTTAGGAAGGAGGCTTCGAGATTGGTCATTTGCTTTCTTTTATTTACGTACTTTTGTTGCTTGTGGAGCATCAGGATGACATGCAGGCATTTAGGCCGGACACTGACATTTTTTCAGTCGTATAGATTTGCAGCATCGAGGCGTAAATTAGAGTAGGATATAGGAGCGGGTAAATAGAAAGAATAAAGAATACACGTGAAATCGGTGTTGCGCCGAAAACTTGCACTTTGATATCTTCCATTTCCCCGCCCCTGCTGTTCTTCCTGTGTCCGTCTGGGTATGGACTTTTGATCATAGACAGTCCAATACATAACATATAGAGTGCAACGTAGGGGAGCTATATAGATACCAAGTCCCACCAATAGGCCGGGCTACCATGGTACTCATTAGTTAGTGATAATCGATAAAGGCTTTCCACATTCAAGGCTCTTGCAAAATATATAGTTCGCCCCTTTCGAGCGCTTCTTGAAATCACTCTGAAGTTGAAAATGGATGCAATTGTGCAGCAGATTCGCGAGCTCCACGCACAAGCAGACGAAGTGGGCAAGATAAAAATCAGCAATGAGCTAGATGCGCTGCAATCGTCTTTGGATAGTGACTGGGACACTATCTTGAAACTGGCAGGCGGTGTAAGTGGCCCTATGTTGGCCCATTGCATCCATTTTGAGCTGATCATCCAATTTGAATAAGCCGCTCCGGCATGCTCTAGTTAAAATAGGGGTAGATTTGAAAATCTTTGAGTCTCTCGTTGAGCGCACTTACAGCTCCTCCGAGCTGGTGGAGAAGACGGGCATATCGTTTGACTTGCTTGGTAACTTTGCTTTGTCCCTTTATGTCTGGACAGGCGGACTGATCGCTGAGTAGGGCGCATCCTGCGCGGACAAGCATCCTTTGGCCTGATCCAAGAGGTAGGAGCCGGTGGATACGCTGCGAATCGGTTCACCAAGCTGTTCGCTGACTCGAATGCAGCTGGCGCGGTGACCTACACGTAAGCAGAGCCGAACAAGAAACAGATATCTGGCCGCGATTAACGTAACTGTAGCTTCGACGTCCTGAGGCCTATTGCTTCCGCTTTCCCTGCTTTCCTCAAAGAGAGGGAGAATGCGTCGATCACATCAACGCATGATACCGTCTTTCAGAAGGCATTCGACACGAAGCTGAGCGGCTTTGAGTGGATGAAGCAGCACCCAGAGACCTTTGGGAACCTGTTCAAGTTCCTTGCATTGAGACCGAATCGCGACTGGGTCGACTCATTCCCCATCGAAGACGAAATCGCGTCGTTCAATGAACCAGACAAGGCAATCCTAGTGGACGTCGGCGGCGGTACTGGTGACCAGGCGCTCGTCTTCCGGAAGAAATTCCCACAGCATCCTGGCCGGGTCATCGTGCAGGAGATTCCAGAGACTCTGGCGCTCGCAAAGCCGCTTGAAGGAGTCGAATTTATGGAGCACGACTGCTTCAAGCCAAACCCCATCCAGGGCGCGAAGTACTACTATCTCCGGTATGTCATGCATCTCTGGCAAGACGACAAGTGCGTGGAGGTCCTCAAGGCCCTGATTCCAGCGCTGGGACCGCAGTCTCGCATCCTCATTGACGAGGTGGTTGTCCCTTCGTCCGAGGTGCCATGGCAAGCGGCGTGTCAGAGTATCCTCATGGCCACGACCCTCGCGGGAGCAGAGCGGACTCTGGCGGAGTGGATGAGGCTGCTTGATGCAGCGGGACTCAAGATCATTGACATCTTCACGTACGATTCCAATCTGCAGTCGGTCATTGTGGCTGTTCCAAAGAATTGAATGGCTTCTTGGGGGAGATCGAAGTCGCTGCGTTTCACACGGAGTGTAGTTAGGCATCATCAATTCTAGAGTAATAGCGTGATATTCGGTTTCCAGATATCTAAAGATATTGAATTCCATTTCAGATCAAAGTATTGTGTATCCATGCCCAAGAGAGAGTCCATCATGCTCGAAAGATCTCTTTCAACGTCTTTTGCGCGGCTAGTTTCGCTCCTCAACTCCTCTTCAACCGCCGCCGCACTCGCAAGGTGCCGCTGTTCCACGGAATCTTCAGCCAAACAAAGTCCACCAGCTCGGGCTTCACCTTCAGGTATTCGACATCATAGTTGAGCAGCATGTGCGCCACGAAAATCTTCATTTCGTTGAGAGCGAAGAACCGTCCCGGGCACGTATGCTTGCCAACCCCGAAGCCAAAGAACGCCTCGTCGAGATTCGCCGTCGTCGTCCGTTTACCAGCGTCTTCGTTGGATTTCTCGGGCCCGTCTTCCTTCGGAGCGAGTTTCGCCATGATATCGCGCACAGAGTCTGGCTGCGCAAAGCGGAACGCGTCGAAGCTCTTGGAATTCGGATAAATCGCCTCGTCATAATGGATAGGCTCAATCGGAACCGCGACGGCGGCACCATGCGGGATGGTATCAGAGCTCGAAAGCGATATTCCGCTTCGATCCACGACCTATGCGCGATTCCACGTCAGATATGCCGTGCATGAGCTCCCGGAGCCCGCCTGTAACAAAGGGGAAAGGGAGGGACTGGGGGAGCTGATATTACTGTTCGAGGCAAAGCAATGCTGCCTAGAGGCGAAAGCCGCATCGACTCTCGAATCGCGGATTCCACAAGTTTCAACTTCTTCACCGCATCAACCGTCCATATTCCCCCGGACTCTTCAAACGCTGCTTCGCTTTCCTTGCGCAACGCCTCGACGAATCCACGCGTGGGATCAGCCGTGAAGAGATCTACAATGAAGCTCTGCACTGAAAACGAGGTCGAAGGGATCGAGACATCGTTAAGAAGCAGTAGGCGGAAACAGATGCTTTTGGGGTCCAGGCGTGCGAGATTACCAGTGTCATAGCACTCATCGATGATCCATTGAATCGCGTCTTTCTACGAGCTTGAGCGTTAGCTTCTTGATTCCAACTCCTCAGCAGTGCAAGGCATCGATCCTCGAGGAAGGGAGGATTTACAGGCGGCGTCCAGTCATAGGTAGGGTCGGTCTTCAACTTTGCTGTCTTCTCCAGTCTTTCCTTCACCACGGGCATGCACTTCTTCAAGGTCCTTTTGAAGAAGACATTGCACGTCAACCAGATTAAACCCCCCGTGATGGGCTGCAGCAGGCTGTGGGAGGCATTGATGGCCATCGCCCCAGCCATGATAACCAAGGAGTGATCTTGACATCCTTTCAAGAATTCCGGGTCGCGGCCTAGCAAGAGTGAGTATTGTGGCTCCGGCTCCTTTCTCGGGCCAGCAGAAGCGTCCACGTACAGAGAGGCATGCCGCAAAGCGCACTATTCACAGCCCCTGTGACAATCTGCCAGCAGGTATCCCATATCTTGATCTCTTTCCACTCCGTCTCGGCGCCCCAGCACCGCTCAAAGCCGAGCTGGATCTCGCTGCCGATAACTGGAGTAAGATGCTTCAAGTTTCGCGTGACCTGCTGGCGGATGACATCGAAGACAAAGCTGTCCTCGGCTGGTTTCTTGTCCCATGTTACCCATCTTGTCTGGTTCGTTTCTTGCTGCGTAGCGCGCACATCCAGGGCGCTTTCAGGAAGAGTGTAGATTCTCTTGACCTCGCGCGGCGGAATTAGCATAATTGGACCGCGATCGATGCTAGGAACAACGAAAGCAGAACCGGCGCTACCATACTAACAAAAACAGCTAAGTTTAGTTGCTCGCGACGAGGCTGCAATCGAGAAAGGGTTTACCTTAGTATAGCCTTCGAATACCAGCTGCTTGATGTTGTAGGACGACCGCAGTGTTGCTCGCAGCCACGCAGCCCACTGCTTCCGGAGCCCAACTACGGGCTGCGACCACAGGGTGGATTGTGCAGGGCGAAAGAGTGCTCTACCGAGAGAGATGCAAATGAAAACAATGGATAGCGGTGCTAGCAGCTGCACCAACGTGGAGAGCAAGGCCATGTTTACAGTACGCTTGTTGGGAGGCCATATCAATGTATAACCAAGACTCAACCTTTTTATATTGAGAGGATTTGATCCTTTTAAAAGAACCAGCTAGAAACCAAGGATACTGGCTTTGAGATGATGCTTGTCGGGCTGCTACTCCCGTCCTATATGCAACAACCGGGTCTGTGCTGTCAAGTTGCACCATGGGCCGGTTGGAATCGAAATCCCATTGCTGACGATCGTGGCTCGAGTGCGGATAATCACGCAGTTTTTGGCGAATGCTCTCATACCTTGCTGGTCTGTTCGTTGGAAATGCTGCCGACTTCGACTCCTAGAACAGCCCCTAAACGGAGCCCTAAATGTCTTGCTCGGACCCCCTAGCCAGCCTAGAATGAATCGACACTTGCCAGTTATCAGGAGTCAAGAGCTTGAGATGTGGCTATATTTCGACTTCATCTTTATCTAAAAGCCCAAGGCAAGGTTCAAGCACTTTTATCCACGCTAAACGTTGAAGCAATCAAAACCTCAAGATGCATCAAATAACTAGTTACCAGCCCATCAGCAAACCATCGTCGTCGTCATATTCATCGCTTTCAGCCTCGTCTAATGCGCCGTCCCCCGCGTCGCTCTCTGCAGGTGGCTCCGATTCTTGGATGGCTTCATATTCGAACTTCGTGCACTCGGTCGGTTTCCCTCCGTTGATTCGGTGTGCGAATTCCACCTGGCCCGTCTGCGTTCTGATGCGGTGGCCGATCTTCACCTTGATACCCTGCAGTTTCCTGCTTCCGGTTCTCTTCAGGAGGCTCGAGAAATCCAAGCTCAAGCTCCCAAGTAACTGAACGTCTGTGCGAACTCCTTAGTTTGTCCTTGTACGATGGGGACTTTGACTTACCGCTTGTGATATAGTTGGGAGGATTCGCGTCTTTGCACTTGTAAAGTTGCAGCTGTCCCTTCAGTGGCCCTCTGCTATCGAGCGCGAGATATCCTTCTAGCCACTTATATGTTTGTCTGACCTTTTCTCCCTGTTGGTTGCATTCATTAGCCGCTTGGACTTTGCTCAGACGCAGAATCACAATACCCGTTTTATATGCCATTTCAGCTGGCCTCTGACCCGCTTTCCGTTTATCGGGCAGTTAAAGGCATCCTCTTCCCTGTCTTGATTGGGATTGAACGGTCTATGAAATGAAATTCCATAGCTCCAGCGGCATACATGGCTGCTTATCTTTGGCTTTTGGCTAATACGTGAGAGAGCTGCTCCGGTGGCGATTGCTGACCATGAATTTGGCGGCACAAGCACCTGGGTTTCTTCCCGCTCTGAGTGCGCCTTGCAAAATTCTTGAAATTGTTCCCGGACATATGCATTATCAGAGAGCCCACCGCAGAGGATAATGGCCTGGTTTCATACTTGGATTCAGTCCCTGCCCACCATTCTACTTTATCAAGACCTCCTTACCGTTAGGGGATTCCCGTTCTCTTCTTTACATTTTCTGATTTGCTCGAGGGCCAATTTAAACGAGTTCTCTAGCACCGGGCGAAACATGTTGCAGATTTCTTCCCTAATATAGAGATTTAGATCCCATTCTTTTCTCTCCAAAAGATCCACGGCAGAGGGATACATACCTTGTGAGCGAGATTTGGCCCAACTCAGCGTCATAGCCTTTGCCGCTCTCCCTATCCAGGGCTAGGCAAACGGTGTATTCTCGTTGCTCACCGTCAAATGCCCTCTTAATGTTTTCGAACTCTTTCATGAATTGGCTTCCTTGGCTAATGTCCTTAGCAGATTTTCCCGAAAAGACTGAGCCATACTTTGATTCCATCAATCGATGGAATTCCCGGTCGATACTGGTTCCGCCGCACATGGCCCCTATGTGTTCTTTTAGTATGTGATGGACTGTCCTCGCTCGGCAACTTACCAGCGCCTTGACAAGCCTCGCGTACTCTGAAAGGACGTATCTTTTCAATTTGATACGTAATCAGGTCCTGAACGGCTCATCTGTTATTGAAACCTCCCGGAAAGCACTGCTTCAGATGCGTTTCTTACCACGGTCCCTCCGCCCATGTCGACAACAAGGATATTTTTCTTCGCCTATTAGTCGACTGTTAGCAGAGTCTTGGAGCTGTACACGTTAAATATTTCTTGCCTGTACCTCAAACAGTGTTTGGACCACGGGCTTCTGGCGATAGTGCTCAAACGTCAGCAGCGCGGCCGCTGTTGGCTCTTCGATTGTGAAGATTCCGTCCAGAGGTTTCGTCGCAAAACCGGCCTCCCTTGCTGCTCTCTTCAATTTTTCTATATATACTTCTCCCCAGTCCGCTGGTGTTGAGAAAACAAATTCAAGTGGAGTTACGTCCAATGCTTTTCCAAATTCCTTGCCCAAGTTGGTCATAATATGTTTGCAAAGGCCGGTCAAGAAGTCTTTGCACAAAGTTTGCGGCGTTTTTCCGGGAGGGCATTTCATCAAGGACATGCCCACCGCCTGCTGTAGCAATGGGTCGTCTTCCGTGCTTGCGCATTCCTTCGAGGCCATCCCCAGCTTAAACCAGGACCACGACTGCATGCCTGGCTTTACCTGGCCTCCCCACAATGGCTTTCCATTTTGGTATGCAATAGTTGTTGCGATTTTTGGCTTATGGTCTTCAGACCCTGGCCACTCCCTGATTATTTGAACTCCTTTTATGTCGTCTAGTGCGTCCACAAGGCTGACACCTTTATACTTGTTAGCAGGCCTTTCAACGACATATATGAACAGGAATTTACCGGAATATGTGGTGCCAAAATCAACGCCAACAATACGACGGTTTCTGATTTGTGGTTCCTTCGGCTTGGGATTCGCAGACCGTGCAGTTTTCCCTGTCGTGTGAAATTAGCCCCATGGCCTGGCCTCTAGCCTTCCATACATACGCTTTTTTTTGCGAGCGCTCTCTTTAGGCTTCTTTTTCCGCTTTCCAGAGACAGAGGTTGATGTCTCAACCCACCCTTCCTCTGACTCTCCATCCGAATTTTCGACTGGAAGGTTAGCGTGCTTCTCAACAGTAATGAACTGGTGCGTATTCACATTTATCTTCAGCTCCCGGTTCAATTTGACCCAACTCGAAAATGTGAACCATCTTTGATAATCGGTCTTCGCGATCCTTCCGGGGAAAATTAGGATGGTTGTAAGTGCAATGAATGCTAACTTTGGCTTTTTTATGAAAGCCCAGTTGCTATTGTTCAAATCCTCATTCGAAAGTGAAGGAAAGGGGTTCTCGTTCTTGTGGCTAGAAGGTCCAACTTTCCTATCTCCCAGTCGATACCTTGAAAACGGTTCCCTTTCGTGAACTCGGATCAGTCGGTCTATGGTTGATTCAAAGATATATTTCAAATCGAATCAAGGGTGAATCAGAAAACACAAAGACTTTTGCACTTTTGTTAAGATAATAAAGGCTCACTCTGCCTATATCCTCATTATATTGAGATTATATTGCAGTATCGGCCATCAAGCTCTCCCTTATATCTAGGATCTTCAAGTGAGAGGATGCTTCATGAAACTCACTTTTAGTAGCTCTGACTTTGAGAATAGTCACTTTCGCTATTTCTAAGGTTCTTGCACGGTTCAACCTTTACTCTATTTTGAATGAACCGGCGTCAGAGACTTGATTCAGTGGTCATTATAAACATGCCTCCCGCCACCAGACAATCGATAAGGGAGATGGAAGAAACGCATATACTTGAGGATGAGCTGGCTTATGAAGTTGAGCAAAATAATCAAGGAACCAAAAGGAAACGGGCTGAAAACGGCGGTACCGGTGCAGAGGCACCTAAATATAAAGATGTAAGGGCTACCCGGTGCTCATCTGACAATCCTTTCTGATATTGTACTCTAGGACGATGATGCTTCCAATTTTAGCGACGCAACCGGCAGCGCAACTAAAGCTCCGGCAGCAAAGAGAAAAAGAGGCGGGAAAAGTGGTGCCTCCAGTCAAGCTGCAAATAAGCCCAAACCGAAGAAGTCTATCAATCAATTGGTACAAGAGGGTAGAAACGCTCGTAAAGCATTAAAAGCCTCCGAAAAACGCGTGTTGGAATTAGAAGAGCAAGTGAACAAGTTGCATCAGTCGATTCTAGATATTCAAAAACGTTATAGGCACCTCAGGACGGACGACCAGGTCATTCGAGACTCCCTTTTCAAGATTATTCAAGAGTGCCAAAGCTGGGCTAAGGAGCACAGCCTTGTTACGGCCGTTAACAGTGATGTTTCACCTGCTCTCGCAAGACTGATGGGAGGATCCAATGCAGAGATGCCATGTCGAGATATTGAAAATGCAGTGGCTGTTTTTCAACTTCTACGCCGGGGACCGTACATGCTGCTGCAAACGGTTCTCTCTCACTTCATTTGCAATAACATCATTGTCCAGCCTTTCCATTTTCTGGAAGGCCACTCAGCCAATGTACAGAAAATGGCTGACATTTTCAATAGCCTACTCCCAAAAAGTACGTGGATTGCTATTTCGTTACACACTCTCTCCTATTTATCAGGTCGTTTTTTCTTTGCCCGTTCACTCACAATAGGCAGAATACAAAGGCAGAATGAACGAATGGGTTGGGCAGACAGTGAGCTTGTTTCGTGCAGATGAAATAGACGGTGGTTATTGTTATCCAAAAGATTCATGGACCCGACTCCAGAGCTTGAGGCAAAAATGCTACTCAGAAATGGTTACATCTTTTCTAAAGGGCGCACAATGCATTATGAAACCTACAAGCAATGCGTCACAAGAGAATACTCGCTATCTTAGGCTCTACAGCATTATACGGCAAACAAGCGACGTCGCCTTGATGCTTTGGGAACAGCGTCTTCCCGTCAGGTGCCTTTCTTCCATCTCGCCTCAGTTGAGCGAATTCGAAAACGGCTCGGACTTGATGAAGGCGCACCATGCAATGCTACTTAGTGCAGAAAACACAACTCTGAATGGGAATAATATCGCATGCGTTATTACTCCGGCTATTGTGTCACTTCGGGACATCAGGACACCGCACGAGTATAGGATATGGTCTCAAGCGATAGTGTGGGCGGAGGGATGGCAAGAGTCTCAGGCTATTAAAACCAAAACAGCCAAGGAACCTAGCATTGTGAATACGGATATAAATGTTGCTAAACCTTGCAACAGCGAGCAATCGGGCCAAGGCAAGCCACTGCAAGAAGAATACCAAAACCAGGAAGGAAGTGCAAAGGTTTTCTGCGGCCCGGATCCTTCAGCTCAGGTGGTTGAAGGCCCTGGATTACAAACAGACGTTGTGGGCGCTGGAGATCCAAGGATTGCAGCATCTACGGAGGATATGGATCAAAAGATTCTGGGGGGCATAGAAAAGGAAGACCTCCCAGACAAAGTGCATCAATCACAAGAGAAGACTGATCTTGTCAAAGGTTGCCATGACATAACCGCGATCACTTCTCCTACCACTGCAGATTCTGAACCTAGCCAAAATTGTCCATCCCGACCTCATGCCTCTGATAGCAACGGAAGCGAATTTCCGGGGCCTGCTCCACAAGCAGCAACGCTGACAATGCCAAACGATTTGCACCCAAATGTGTCTCCGCCCCAACTGAATACGGACATGCTCAGATCCAGAGAGAGTCAAGGGACCATGGGACAAATCGTCCACCGAGATGATACCACCAGAAACGACTTGACAGGTTTAATCAAAAGCGAGCCACATGAACCGACGGGGCACACGGACACTCCCAATGCCGTAGCTGAGCCAAATCGTTCGGAAGGGGGAGTGCCCCTACTTGATGACTGGTCTAGATATCAAAATTGATCTCTAGTGAAGGTAATGCTAATTAATAGCTACTGAAACAGGGATGTCGATACAGATAGGATATAAAGGAAAGTCGAGAGCGTTTAACGTTGGGAGTGCCCTACTCCGCACATATATGGAGAAACGAGAGAAAAGGGGTAAAGCAAACATGGCCCTAGTTCTCTTGAATACCTGGATAGATTTTAGTTTATATTTCTTTTTCTAATGGTGGTTTATTATGATTTATATTGGCTCCAATTAGTCTGAAGTTCCATGGCTTGCTCATCCTAATTTAGGCATGGGATATCCCTTTCTAAGGGCCCATAACCCAGCCTACCTCTAAGGAGCTATTTCCCGCTGTTGTAGGGGAGTTTAAGGAGTATCAGCGAAATAGAACTGACCTACGGAGTAGTCAGTCATCATTCCTGCTGCCAGCACTTACAGCCTCTATTATTCAAGTTGGGAGATGGACTGGGCGAGGATAGTATCTTCTTGTTCATATTAAGAATCAGTTTGTGGGCAAACTACCCTTATCGACTTGACTAGATACAGGCTTGTGTCATTTTTGTGTAAAAATTTAGACATGTAGCTTGAGCATCCATATAAACATTGGGATCACGGAGATTTTGTGAATTACTCAACTAATATAGCCATATCATTGATGACTGGGTCGAAATCTTCTTTCATGACAACTCCCCACCTTTTTAGAGGAGGGGGTTCCATATATGATAGAAGCCTCATCGGGGATGGTGAATTTTAAACAGAAATCTTCTGTGCTCTGGTGGACAGCCCCCCACTGTCCAATCAATGTTGGAGAAGGGCAGTCTTATATTTGTCACTCAGCCATACCATTCCAGCATTACCATGCACGATGAACGGAGGCTGAGATGTCGTGGTCCTGGTTCAGATCGAGAATTGTAAGGCATCGGTTAAGGCGAAGTATCAGCGTAATCGGCCGGTTCATAGAAATTTGGGCCTCATGATCGGCTCATTATTCCGGAAATGCTCAGTGCTAAATCCAATATCGAGAGTTGCTCGTCCGCACCATCAATAAGTCGTTTATCAAACTCAGAAAATATCATAACAATGTCGTTCTTTTGAATGTCGGGAATTGACTCGTTAAACACAGTTGCTTGATACATCTGCGCAATATGTTTAGCTGAAGGAGAAAACTGATTGTTGGAGACAAGGAGCTTCTTACTTGTGACAGTATTTGGCCGGCGCTCCAACCGTCGGCCACAATATCCGTAACGACCTTCGCAACTCCTTCGTATACAGAGCCTCCCTTTTTGGGCTGCATAGCGTCGATCAGCCGATTCACCACATTATCCGGAACAACACCCGCAATCTCCTCCACATTCTGTACAGTAATAACTCCCGAGCTATCGGCGTCGGGCATCTCCTCGTCGCCGCCCTCATCCTTCCCACTTTTCCCTGCCAGCCCGGACCCAACTAGCCTCGCCGCGCTCTGCATATATGTGACCGCCCTTCTCAAATCCCCTTCACTGCATCGAATCAGCGCATCGATAACGCCATCGTCAACTCTCAACTTCTCCGCCTTGACAATCTCTTCCAGACGACCGCCAGCCGCTGATCCATCCAGAGTTTTGAAGCGGAATTTGCTGCAACGACTCGCCAATGGATCGATTATTCTCGTAACATAATTACACACGAGGCAAAACCGGGTGATCTTTGAGAATCTTTCCATCGTCCGGCGCAAAGCTGCTTGAGCGTCTTGCGTCATGCTGTCCGCCTCATCCAAAATGATAATCTTAAACGGCGGACACGGATATTGTTTTCTATACTCCGAATCTTGCGGGGGCGGGTGTGAAAGCTGGGTGCGCGCGAAGTTTTTGACTTTATCGCGCACGATATTAATGCCTCGTTCATCGGAAGCGTTCAGTTCGAGGATTCGTGAGCGGTACAGCTTGGGGCCGAAGAGAGATTTCGAAAGGGCGAGAATCGTGGAGGTCTTGCCGGTACCAGGAGGGCCGTAGAAAAGCATATGTGGAAGCTAGATGGATGAGCATTTCGGACAGAAAAGCTGGTTAAAAGTCTCGTACATTCGAAGCTTGTAAAGTCCGTTGCAGGACGGTTACGGTATGATCTTGAGCAGCTACATCATCGAGTGTTTTTGGCCGGCTAAAGCTAGGTTAGCACCAACTGCGACTCTATACTTGAAGGTCCAAAGCATACTATTTCTCCACCCAAGGCTGGAGTCTTGACTTATCTTCCTCGCCTGTAGTGGATTTTGATTTTGACGCTGCCGCATTAGTAGCAGCAGCAGCTCGGGCCTTGTTGCTGAAAAAATTAGCCGCCATGATTGATTGTGGGATTAAAGGTTGGAGGAATCGGAGTGAGCTTTGCGATGCTGATGTTGAAGACGAGCGCAGTCGCGAAACCCGACGCGTCTGTCACGTGCCATGATTGCGAACTTCAATTAATCAGATGCACACTTTTGGGGACCAAGAGAGTGGTTATATCGTGTCATTATTTCATGCTGACAAGGTCTATAATTCATCCTTCTTCCCTCCTTCGTCAATGTTCTCCTCCCACATCCGTTTTTTCGGATTTCGTGGCATTTCCGCCTGTCGTTGCCTCTCTTCTGGGGAGCTGCCATCGATGTTCGTGCCCTCTTCTCGATAACGATTCTCTTCCTTTTCCCTTTCTTCCACCATCTCCGCTATTTGCCCCGATATGTTGCTGGGTTCCACCGCAGTCGTCCGTGTTGCAGCTGGATGCTCCACTGAGTAACCACCTCCCGCTATAGAACTTGGTGAAAAGGCCACCGTCGGAGTCGAGACCGTGTTTATTCCAGTCGAGTAATCTACGCTAATGGCACTTTTCTGCGTGCCACCAGATAAGCCTGCCATTCCTAAAACTGCAAACATGGATCTGTAGACCATCTTCACCGGCAGCCAGAGTAACCACCATAGTGGGCCGTAAAATATACGCCGGAATAGTAGCCAAATTATAGTTCCCACCAGGATATAAAATGCAGTTTCCAAATACCACGTATCTGACTTTTGTGAGCGGAGGAGGGAGCTCACAAGTGAGCGCGAAGAAGCAAGAAGGGTATCAAGGTTACTATATGATTCCGATAAGGAATTTAACGCCGCCGTGGATTGTTCTAGGCCAAAGTTGCATTAGTTATCTGCCATTGCCTCATAGAACTCCGGGCTTGGGTGCGGTTACCTAGTGTTTGTTGCGCAAATTGGCTCCGAGACAGCTCTGACTGCATTAGTTGATGGGTTCGTCTCAAAGCAGCAGTCACATCATTTGACGCGTTCACAATCAAATCATCTTGCGTGAGCTTTGGCGAAGCCTTGGTCCGCGGTATTCCGTCCTCGCCATTCCTCGAAAACAGCAGTTGACGTTCTTTCTGCTTGGCTACTTCCGCGTTGCGTTTTGCTTGGATTTGAGCTTTTCGAAATTGTGTTCGGATGCTATATATGAGTTTAAACGTCAGCGATCAATCATCCGAGGAAGTACGTTTCTTACAGGTCCCGGAAACATAGCAACATGGATACCAAGCAATCCGGAGCGCCTCACGTCTTCATATCAGCTTCCAACTTCCTGGACATGATCAATATTCTCTCCCTCTCTGCTTCCTTGTCCTCATTCTCCCTTTTTCTGCTGCCGCCTGCCTCCAGTTCATCAACCTCGACTCTTAGTAGTTCCATTTCATCTTCCATTTCCTTGAGCCGGAGATGGATCTCCGCACCAAGTTCGATACGCGCATCATCGCCTTGTCCCGGAGTATCAGACCACTTTTCTAGGCGTTGTATCAAAGGTAGGGTTTGTTTGTAGGTGGTGGAGAGAGCTGTGAGATGCTGTTGAAGCGCCGGTGAAGACATGGTGCAGGTGTTTGGCTAGGTTATTAGTGGATTATCGGTTTGGAATTGGATCCAAATTCATTATCCGCATATTAACGATACTGAACCATGAGGCGGACAGAATAACACATATTATCCCGTTCATTGAATTGGATGTCTTGCAACCTTGAGATGGCAGCGATGTTGATAAGCTGGCACCAAGCATGTTTGACAAGAATGCAAACATCGATTTTATTTGGCTGCAAATCATTTGCACATTGCAGCTTCAGTACGGAGTATAATCTGACATCTCTTGCGCTTTACTATCTGACGATTTAACGAAATCCAATTGTTTCTACCTCAATCGCATAGCCAGTTACGTTTCCGACCTTCGTTTTACAGCAGAATCTTAGCCGCACCACCCGAAAACATTCAAAGTACAGACCATCAACGGTCGTCGGTAGACATAGCGTACGGCCCAACCACTCTTTTGCACCGCAAACTCGCTCACCGTCATCTCCCCAGCTCCTCTCCGCTACGCGATCCTGATATTAGTTCTCCGCAATGTCTCTCCCCCTCTCCACGATCTCCTCTTTCCGCGCCTCCTTCTCCCCTTTCTCCCCACTCTCCAAACCCTGCCGACTGGTCCTCTCCCTCCTCCAAACACCAACGACCGCATCGCCCTCGAGCTCTTCACACATCAAAATATCCGTGACGAAGCTCCCTCGACACTCGCCGAAGCTGCCGGAAATGACCATCGGATTCCGCAATGGCAAGGAGCTCAGATTCGAAGTGGGAAAGAATCAAATGTCGGTACATGATGTGTTGGAAGAACTAGGGCGCGTTGGGAGAGTTATTGAGAGAGAGGAGAGTTTGAAGGGTTGAGCACGTTTTTGGATGCTGGTTGGTGTTTTAGAGCAAATATGTTGCGTGGAATATGGATGGACATACTACGCGGGCATCTGTACAATATGATGAGATAGAGGGTCTGTGAATGACAAAACTATAATTGGTGAATTTGACGGAGTTCCCAATGCCAGAATTATTTTTTACTTGGATATCTCTTCAATTCTTGTTCCTATCAAAATCGAATCGGGCGGCTTGAAACGATTCACCATGCAACATTCGGCCTAGCATGCGGCATTTGTAGGGCTGACTGGATTGGTTGTCTTGGTGACAGAGGTGAAGTAATGGCAGAAAGAGGAAATGGAGAATAAAATGGTTCAGAATGCCTTTATTGCTTTGCCTTGCGGGGACCAAACTATGGGATTCATAATATAATGAAAATGAATCTAATAGAATATTCCATAAGACAGAACACCGCCATTTGAGCAAAAAAGCTTCTTTGAACTTTTTTTTGGTGGGAACCATCGAGGTTCTGCTCTATGAGACGTTCTGTTCCATGTAACTTGTGATCTCAAAAAGCCCATCTCGCCATGAAGAGGAGAACAAAAACATCTTTCGGCTCAGGCTAATAAACACCACCCGCGATGCAGATATGCTAATTGAACTGATTTAAACAGCAGCACCTGAAATGAAGAACCATTTGTCAACGCTGCCATCAATTGGAGCGGGGCGGAGGTCCTGGCCAGCGGGGATGGATTCGATCTTGCTTTGATCAGCGCGGTCGGCGGAGCCCTCGACACTGACATTAGCCCTAAAGAGGAGAATTAGTCATGTATAAGATAAACGTTGTCTATTTCGCATGAATGAAGTGAGGACATACAAGGACATATCACCACGCTGGGACTTTCCGGCCATAAGTCTCTCCCAGGCGTCGGAGCATTCTTGGACAATTCCATTGCGTACCT